CTGGATTAACTCTTTTTGTTTCTGCTCTTGAGATTATTTGAATATAATGGTGCAAAATCATGTGTAATTGTGTGTTAAAGTAGGACACATATATTAATCTTATTGTATTAAGCTGTAGAATGCTATAACATGGTTGTTTGAATTTTTTCTCCTCTCAATCCATTCAGTGTATTTACATCAGACAGCAGACATGTTTCTGTAAAGAAAAAGAGGAATTCACGTAAAAACATACAACAGAATATCAAAACCAGTGGGTATTCAACAGCAAGATCCTGTATTCTCACTTCCAGAGATGTGAAGTTGTGAAGGTCTGTGAGACCCCAGAGACATGGTGGTTTAGATCAGTGTACTTGTGAATATCTGAACATTAACTTTGTTGCAGTGCGCTGCATGCGGAGGAAGAGCCATAAAACAGCCTGTAAAAAAGGATTGTTTGTGTAAAAAAAAAAAAGGGGGTGGGGGTATAAAAAATATCAAAACCATAAATCTGTGAATTCAGAGCAAGGCAGCAATAACGAGAGGTCATAAATCTGAGGGTGCATTACTGCAGTTCTGCCCTTTAAAAACAGTTGGATTCTTTAACAGCCAAATACCTGCTCCTCTTCAAATGAAGCGGATAAAGGTACTAATAACTGACTCATTATGACTTAAGTAATTTGGTCCACTTCACAAATAAATAGCCCAGTTTTAAACATCATCATTTGCTTGAAATAACTCATGTTAGAATGACTTGAACATTTCCAACATCTGGATATCTTATGTTTAGTATCTAAAAATTCCTGCTAATGTTCGTTTTTATTCATTTGTTAAGAGCAATGTAAAAATATTCAGGTAGTACGTAAAATAAATAAGAAAATATCTAATCTGTGGAAAGCGATTTTTGTTATTTATTAGCGATGTTCAGATACCATTTCTCACTTGCAGATACTGATTCTTATTCCTGGCCACAATGAACTCAACACACACAATGTATTTTAACAGCTTCATGCTACTAGAAGTGATGATTGTTGTCATTGTTGTAAGGCCTGGCTCAGGTTAAATCATTTAAAGAAACAAATGCGTACAGAGTGAATGAATACT